TGCATTCAACCGTCGCTTGGACACGAGGTAAGTACTTACCAGAGCTAGGTCATATAGAATAGACTAAACTATCGTACAACTTTTCTCGATTGTCAATCAACTGTTTAGTTGCACAACTAAAAATCGAGAAGTAAGGAATCAAAGCGGGACTAAACAGTTGTGCGATGGTTGAGTCCAATGTGTGCCTTTAAGTTTCGACTGCCTATGATTTAGGTCACCTTGTTTACTTAAAATATCTTTATGACATATAGTAACTTATATTTTTTCTTGTTTATTAGTTCGTGATTTTTTAAAAAGGGGTGCGGTTTTATAATCTGACAGATGTCAAAATTTAATTTAATTTATCATTTAAAACGTTGTTAAGTTCTGACAGTTTTAACTGAAGAGTCAAATTTCTCAGTTAACGCGCTTATTGCGTAACAGGCCGATATCGGCCTGCCGCTCTCTCTCAACTGTATACATTACATAAAATGTATACATTATATTTCCACAAGGTTTTAGCAATTTAATCTAGTAGGTGGTGGGTCTAAAAAGACCTGCCAGACTGGCGGAAATAACATTGGGGGGTCCATTTAGGCCCGCCGCCGCACAAGATTAAGAATTATGTTTTTACTTGCCGCAGTAAACGTGTTAAATCTATGCGTTGCTTAAAGTTTTGTTAACACGTAGATATTTTACTGAGCACTTCGACTTGTCAGTTAAGACTCATATAAAATTTAACGTCTGATCCTTTATACATTTAACTAGCTGTTCCCGTGCGGCTTCATCCGCATAAAATTATGAAAAAATTATTTTATTCTTTACTTGTGTCAAATTATCAATTGCAAATGTCAAAATGACATGATATGACAAATAAGCAATCTTTCTTTCTTGATGTTGGCAGCAACTTATGGTCTCTTTCCTACATTAGGGTTTTTATGCAAAATATTTACCCCCTCGTTTAATGACGTGAAAATATATAGCCTAAAGCGTGTTGTATGTTTAGGGCTTTTTATTAAAAAGAGAATTATTCAAAAATATGCTGTAATTGCTGACATCTTAGGCAACAAAGAAGTGTCTGTTTACGCTTTATTATAATAGTATAGATTGATACAATATTTGCCCGAATAATCTTTAATAATTTATCTTTTTGTTTTTATTAACTTTTTAATAAAAGACTAATTTAAAATTAGATGCCCACGACTTCTTGGCACGGAATTAAAACAACTTAAAAGTAGCCAATATACGAGTATTGTTTCAAATTATATTCTGCATACAAATGTCAGAAATTGTTGGAACATCCTGTAGATACGTATTAACAATACATAGATACATCTAAACTTTCTCATCTTACTAATATAAATGCGAAAATCCGTATGTATGGATGTTTGTTAGAGTTTGTAGCCTAAACAGCTGAACGGATCTTAATGAAATTTCGCATAGCTGTAGAAGATAGTCTGGAAGAACACATAAGTTTTCGCCCGTGACTCCGTCTACGTGAAATTAAAAAAATTAAGTAGCCTATGTGTTCTTCCAGATTATCCTCTACATTTGTGCCAAATTTCATCGAAATCCGTTCAGCCGTTTAGTCTACAAACTCTAACAAACATCCATCCAAACCTTCGAATTTATAATATTAGTATGGAGATATTGCAAATTGTAATATACATTTAATTAAAGAATAATACACAGTTAATATAAGATTGTGTTTTCTTTCAATTTAACGTTTAAATTAAATAAACAGAGGCGACATATTCCATACATGGCGGCCATTACGATCCACTATTTATTATTTTGTGAGAATTTTGAGATGAAATGAAGGTATATAGAACTATTATAACGTTTTTATGACTATTATGTAGACGTAGGAATGTAATTTGAAATGGAAATTGATAACAAGATTGTTTTTATAACAGAAATTGTGTTATAACAATAAACGATGTCAATTTGGGTGCGGTCAATTTTGGTAGATACCGTAATTGTACTACAATAAACTAACAGTATCCTTAATTAACAGTATCCTTACGAGTTCCACGAGTCTCTAGTTAAAGGACTGAAGTTATTCATACTAAAATATCACCAATCAAATCATTGTAGAAATCCTGTTATAAGCTTCCAAAGATGCGCAATTTGCCATAACCGCGCCTTAATAACTAGCTGTTCCCGTGCGGCTTCATCCGCATGAAATTATATATTTTTTATTGTTTACATTTGTCAATCAACAGCAAATGTCAAAATGACATGACATGACAAACCTTGACAATCTTGCTTCCTTGATGTTGGCAGCAACTTATGGTCTCTTTCCCACATTAGGGTTTTTACCCAAAATATTTACCCCTAAGTTTAATGGCGTGAAAATATATAAAGCGTGACGTAAGTGTAGGGATTTTTATTAAAAAAATATATTAAAAAATATGCTGTAATTGCTGACATCTTAGGCAACAAAGAAGTGTGTATTACGCTTTATTATACTAAGTATAGATATGAAAGTTTGGATGTATGTTTGTGACCAGTTAAATCCGCAAATATATCTGGATAAATGGATTTTTTTTTATAACATAACGAATGGCAAACGAGCAATCGGCCACCTGAATCCGCCAAAATGGCGAAGCAACCGCTGCCCATAGACATCCGCAATAGCAGATGCGTTGTCTACCCTTATCCGACGGCGGAGAAGACGCACATAAAGGGGATATTTTCCATTCCTATGCATCTCCTCCACTGTCAAATCCACTTCCTCTTCCTATCGTCTTCTTATAGTAAAGGGGTGGTAAAGAGAAAGGGACTAAAATTAGGCCTCCGGCACCACACTCATCAGACGAAACACGGAATTGCTTCCATTTCACGCCTGTCTTCTGTGTGGTCGTGGTATTACACCGGGCGTGCCGGCCCATTCATGCTATAATGTAAAGCGGGCACTACCACTGTTTGATTGCGTGAAAGGTGACATGATCAAAAAGGGAGTGATGACTGAGATGACGTATGATAGAGTTATGTGGAGGACAAAAACCTCTTTCGCTACGGAAGGAGGATAAGAAGAAAGATGATGACTTAATCTGTAATAACAGAGCGTCTACACCTTTGACTGAACTATCTCCTTGTTTAGTCTCGCTTTGATTCCTTTAGCTGATATGGAGGTACACTACTCGTTAGTTGTGCAACTAAACAATTGAATTGCGAAACAATCGACAATCGCGCAGTTGTAACGACTTGGTAGACATTTAGATGGTACATTCCAGAACCTTACAGTTTTGACCGAACTTTCTAGTATTTTCTCGGCGATATTTCCAAACTAACATGACTTAGGGTCCTTTAAAAAGCGAAAGTATTATATCAACATTTAACAGTGGTAGAGTCCGCTTTAACATCTACGCACTGCAGGGCTCGCCCGGTATAATACTACGACCACACAGAAAACAGGCGTGAAGTGGAAGCAATTCCGCGTTTCGTCTGATGAGTGTGAGGCCTAATTATAGTCCCTTTGTTTCCGCCCTTTTCTTGAGAAGGAAGGTTGGGAAGGAAAAGTGGATTTGACGGTGGAGGAGACGCATAAGAAGGGGAAAAGTCCTCTTTATATGCGTCTCCTCCTCCGTCAATTAAAGGTAGGCAACGCATCTGTAATTACGGATGTTTATGGGAAGCGGTCGCTTTCCATTTCGGTGGATTCAGGTAGCCGCGTGCTCGTTTGCCACCTTATATTATAAAAAACATCAAAGGCAATGCAAATTCCTTTGGTATTACAGTGGTATTTCTTTCGTATGAAAAACTATCTGTTTCCCGCGATTTTGTCCACGTTAAATTAACCTATATCACTCACTGATAACGTAGCTTTTTGGTAAAAAAATTATTGAAATCGGTTAAGTAATTTTTGAGTTACTTCAATACATACAAATGTTTCCTCTTTGTAATACTAGTATAGATATCAAAAGGAACTAAGTATTCTAGGAGACTTTTTCGATGTTATTTCTTTTAATTGCATTCGGACGAAGTCTCGTATTAGTTAATTAAATAATTACTTTGAAATACAAGTTGTTTAGTAAGAAAAATAAAAGACAGTAGCTACGTTTCTACAAAAGTTGACAAAATTAGATCAGGTAACAGTTAACTTAATTCAACTATCAAGTTGTAAAGTTGAATTTAAGTTGTCGGTACACGTATTGTCGAATTCTACGTCGTAAGTTAACTTGGACATTTATTGTGTTAAGATGGCAAACATTTTACGTATATATTTATACTTTTTCTTTCTAAAATAGTTAATTACTTAAAGAGGGTTGCGTAATCAATTACGATTTAATCCAAAATGTTAGTCACGAAGTTTTCGAAAATGGTAAATCTAAAGTTAAATATAAAACAGCGCCATCTAGTAGAATTATTCTTCTTAGAAGAACTCTTCATCAAGTGCTATAAAATAATACTAGATGGCGCTATTTACAAAAATATAGAAATTTACTAATTTAAATTTTTTGTTAATAATTAAGAATATGTACTTTATACCTTTTTAAATTTACAGATTTATGCTTTCATGTCCTATAAAAAATAGCCGTAATGTTTTTTTTTTAATAGTTAAATATAAGTTTACTAAATAAGTATATACTATACGTTTTTCGCATTAAATTTTTAAATGCATTACTAAAATATTAAGCGAAGGGTTTTGCAACCCTCTCCGCGGGGTACAGACCCCGCTGTGCGCGTCGGGGTTGTCAACCTTTGAACAGGGACAACTTTTAACAGCGAAGGATTTAAAAAGCAAATACATTAAAAAAATCTTTAAATTATTAATATCTATTATTTCAATATTGTAGTAAATATTTTTCTTTAATTAAGTAATTATTCGTTTTGATTTTTTATAGTTTTATTCAACGTGCCGCTAGATGTCACTGTTATAAAAACATAAAGTTTTATTAAATTAAACATTTTGAGAATCGTTTTCATTATTTTTAAGCATTAGTTGTAATTGATTGAGTGTTCATACATAAAGAAATACATTTTAAATTGTAATTATTCATTTGTTCGCAGATTTTTATTGTCAAAATTAAAAAAGAAATGTCATCCGCCATGTCGTTTTCGCGCGTATTTTTGCTCGTCGCCATTGCAACTTTGTACATGGAATCCTGTCATTCTGCCACCGTAAGTATTGAATAAAAATTTAATTGTTAATATTAATTTAAGAAGTTCTGACTGTGTCTTAACTAAAATATGTATAAATCAATTTTGTGGTAAAACATGTAAAGAAAGATTATAATTATTCTATGTTTTAAAAATTCAATTATTTGTTTGGCTGAATTAGATTCCATTGCCTTATTTTAAGCGTATACTATTTTTGTCTCAATCATCTACAAGAGAATGAAAAAGAGAGCAATGTTCAGCAAATTAAGAATGTTTTTTTTACAGATACCGCGAAACTTTGACACGAGAATAACTGATGACGTCATTATGGCGCCGAAGAAGAGACCATTCTGCAATGCGTTTACTGGTAACGTTACTAAATCTTTTAGAGCGTCCACACCTTTGACTAAACTATCGCACAATTGTTTAGTTCGCTTTGATTCCTAATATATTATATGGAGGTTGAATTTTTAGTCCGTTTCTCTTTCCATTCTTATCTTAAGGGGAAATGATGGAAAGGAAAAGTGGATTTGACGGTGGAAACGCATATGAAGGGGAAATGCCCTTTTTATGTGCGTCTCCGTCAATGAAGGGTAGGCAACGCTGCAATTGCGGATGTTTGTGCAGCGGTCGCTTTCCATTTCGGTGGATTCCGGAAGCTTGCGAGTTTACCACCTTATATTATATAAAAAAAATCGCACAACCGTAGTTCGATAGGTTATTCAAAGTTTACATTTAAATAAATTGATATACTGATTTGTTATTTCATTTTAGGATGTGGCCGTAAGCGTTCTCAATACGCTCCCGGTATGCCACAGGACATCGTGCGTCAGAGACAGGTAAATACAGCAAAAGAGTATTCTTTCTTATGTTAAACATTTTTTATACCCGACTGACTACTGACCACTGATCTGTATTGATGGATAGGCGATTGTTTGATCTGCATTCTTACTTAACGCCTTTTAATTTTTATGTCAGTTAAGTTATTATTATTTCGAAAATTATTCAGTGATTACTATTATTAAAAATCAAATAGATAAAAAACATAGTTTATAGCCTATCCTTTTACAGTGGTCAGTGGTCAATAAAATAGGGTTTTCTATTTTTTTATTAAAAACTTTCGCCCGCGACCCGGTCCGCGCGGTACTTAAAAAAACAAATGCAAATAGCCTATGTGTTCTTCCAGACTATCCTCTACATCTATGCCAAATTTCATCGAAATCTGTTCAGCAGTTTAGGCCACAAACTCTAACAAACATCCATCTATCAAAACTTTCGCATTTACAATATTAGTAACTTAGCTTTTTAACTATTTTGATATATTCTTTATTTATTAATCTATGTTATTTATCTTTTTTTAAAAGAACATTTTCGTAAAATGTATCGCCTAAAGAATGACGTCAGTGTAGGGATTTTTATTAAAAAAGAATTACTCAAAAATATGCTGCTATATTGCTGACATTTTTGTCGAAATATCTAACAAGTGTGATTGTATTCCAGTTCGTAGATGATGAAACTCTAGGATCGTTTGTTGAATCGGAAAATGCAGTCGAAGAACTATCCCGTCAAATCCTTTCTGAAGCTAAACTTTGGGAAGCAATCCAAGAAGCGAGCGCTGAAGTATTACGCAGAAAACAGAAAGAATACAACCAATAAATGCCCGGGAATTATGATCGAATGTCACTTTGGATAGGATTTTGAGGTTATGAATTATTGAAATAAAAATTATATTAAATAGATTTATAAATGTGAACCGGTAGCGTTTCTGAATTTAATAATATATTTCATATTAAACGATTAAAATTTAATCTTTTTTAATCTGTGCAATAAATATGGATGATTTAAAAAATGTATTTATATTTTTAATCTGTCGAAATTAAAAAATAAATTCAAATTAAGAGATATAGACTATAGTTAATAATTTAATTCTAGAAGGTGACTTATTATATTTGTTTTTTATTTAATGTTTTTAAACGAAGCAGTTTGTGATGTACTTTTTAGGTTATAATTTAATTCGTAATACATTTTAATAATTACAATACTTTACACAATCTGTAGCAATTGTTTATATTTTTAACAGAGCTATATTTGTGCGTTAAAGGCGTGTATATTCAGACTTGAAGTTAATAAAATCTTTTATCGAAATAAGCAATGTTTTATTTCTATTTATTTATTATTTATTAACATAACTAAATACTTGAACAGTGGTAGTGCCCGCTTTAACATCTTAGCACTGCAGGGCTCGCCCCCAGTAATACCACGACCACACAGAAGACAGGCGTCAAATGGATGCTTCCGCGTACAGTCTGATCAGTGTGATGATGGATGCCCAATTTTAATCCCTTTCTCGGTCCACCCCTTATCAAGAGAGGATTGGAATGGAAAGTGGATTTGACGGTGGAGGAGACTCAAAGGAAGGGGAAATATCCTCTTTATGTGCGTCTCCTCTGTCAATGAAGGGTAGGCAACGCATCTGCAATAGCAGATGTCTAAAGGCAGCGGTCGCTTCGCCATTTTGGCGAATATAGGTGGCTGTTTGACAACTTATTGTAGTTATATAAAAAAAATTACATTAAGCTTGTCTTTATGAATGAAAAAATTGTAAACATATAGCCTAAGTTCTTCAGGTAACATAGCTTTTTAATGGTGAAAGAATTTTTGAAATTATCCCAGTAGTTTTTGAGTTATTTCAATACATACAAAAATACAAATCTTTCCTCTTTATAATATTAGTAAAGACATATGTTACATGATTTCAAACCTCTAAGGACAAATAACATGACTAAATGTTCACATATTTTATCAAAGCGACATTAAACTACTGTTAACCTCGATTAGTTATTTCAGTAAATTTGTAAAAAAATACATAGGTATGTGTATAGTAATCTTACTAATATTATAAATGCGAAAGTTTAGATGGATGGATGTTTGTTAGCGTTTGTAGCCTAAACGGCTGAACGGATCTCCATGAAATTTGGCACAGGTTTAGAGCATAGTCTGGAAGAACACATAGGCTACTTTTTATCCCGGGAATAGTTACGGTTCCCGTGGGATTCAATAATTTAGTTTTTTAATGTTCACTCGATCATTCTCCAACGGTTTAATATGTCTTATTGAAATTTGTCACAGATATAAAACAAAGTCTGGAGTACACATGAGATAAGCTTCATCCCAGAGAAATGTCCCGAGGGATACGTAGCTTTTTGTAATTTATATAGTTCGTATGTTTTCTAATACCACGCGGACGAAGTCGCGGGCAACAGCTCGTGTAATATAAATGTAGTCTTTTACTATATTCCTTCGTTTGCTCACTGTTATCTAATTAGCTATATGTAAATCGGAGTGTATCTAGTTAGGAACAAGATGTTTCCTAAACATCGTGATTTCCGCGACTGCACAAGTAAGCCAGCTACTGGAATATCCTGATATTATATCCGAAACTACACTTAAGAATGTCAACAAATGTGGCACTTCAATCTTGTTTGCTAATGGATAATAAACAATAAAAGAAAACGTATTCCTTCTATAAAAAGCAAGATGGCGCGTTGCGTGCTCCATTCCGCCGCCATCTTACATGTCAACAATTTCGGCGCCAATTTGTTTGCTAGTAATCATGTTGAAAGTATTAACGGTATTATATTTAATTGCGTTCGGTTAGTTGCAATATTTTTTATTAATTATTAAATACTAGCTGTTGCTCGCGACTTCGCCCGCGTGAAATTGAAAAAATATAACCTATGTTATTCACGGATAAATTACCTTTCCAATGGTGAAAGAGTTTTTAAAATCGGCCTAGTAGTTTTTGAGTTATTTCAATACATACAAAAATAGCAAAATGGTGAAATAATCTTGTTAAAATGAATTTAGATTTTAGATTATAATAGACGAGTAATTTTAATTCAATTTTTAGACAGTCATTTATTTAAAAAGCAGTAAGATAAGATTTAAAAAAGTGTTGCTATAGTTAGATTCTTAAATGATTTTAACACATTTACTGCGCCAAGTTTTTTTTTTATAATACGAGGTGGCAAACGAGCAAGCGGCCACCTGAATCCACCGAAATGGAAAGCGACCGCTGCCCATAAACATCCACAATTCTAGATGCGTTGCCTACCCTTCATTAACGGAGGAGACGCGCATAAAGAGGACATTTCTCCTTCCTATGCGTCTCCTCCACCGTCAAATCCACTTTTCCCTCCCATCCTTTCCTCTTAAGAAAAGGGTGGAAAGGAAAAGGGACTAAAATTAGGCCTCCGGCACCACACTGATCAGACGAAACGCGGAATTGCTTCCACTTCACGCCTGTTTTCTGTGTGGTCGTGGTATTGCACCGGGCGAGCCCTACAGTGCGAAGATGTTAAAGCGGGCTCTACCACTGTTAAATTAATAATTATTCATCTAGTAACGCGGCTGGCCTAAATACGCCCTCAATTATGTTTCCGCCAACATGGCAGGTCTTTTTAGACCCACCAGCTCTACCATAGATTAAGCTATGTGGAAACATTTATACATTTTATGTAATGTATACACCTTAAATAATTTCGCAATAGCGGGAGGGATATAGTTTTCTTCGTCTGCACCAGCTTTTATACCACGTCAGGCCGATATCGACCTGTTACGCAGTGAGCGTGTTACCATAATACTTAATTTTTAAATTACCTTTACAAATACTTTATAAAAGAAGAACACAAATTTTACTAAACATTAAAGCTTTTTTTGTTTTATTTTAGGCAACATTAGTGCAGCTAGCTTGTCATGCGAGTCCTGTGGGATCGAATGTGTTCCTGCCTGCGGCACAAGGAGATTCAGGATTTGCTGCTTCAACCATTTGAAGAGAAAGCGTTCTAATTTATACGAGGTACTAAGTATACCTTGCTAAATTGAATTTAGAGGTCTTATTGTCAATCGTAACTTAATTGCAAAGTCTCATACTAAGAATATCTTTTACACTAACTTCTAGATATTACCCAAGTTTTTATAGTTAGACCCTTTGACATCAGCGGGAGACATTTGAAAGTATCGCACATCTGTTGTCGATTGTTTCGCAATTCAATTGTTTAATTGCACAATTAAAATCGAGTATTCACAAGATATAGTTTGTCTAAATAAGATAGATTAGTTTGATAAATGACCCATATGAAGTATCGAATTCAATGTATGAAGGCAAATGCCGTACTTAATAGACAGGTATCGTGGTAAAACACGCAGCGAACAATTATGAACTATCGATATTCGGTTTAAATAATTATCGAACTTAACTAAAATTATTATTTTCTTATTAAATAATTTAGAAGACAATTCTAGTATTGATTATAGTGTAGAGAATTTAGCGATGACAGAAATAATAGCGAAATCCAATTCGATTACGTACGGCTGCAGTAGTAATAAACATTTATTTACTCTCATAATTTGTAATGGTTCTGCAGGTCATTATTAATTTGACTAAACAGTGTTTTTTTTTTAATTCATGAGTTATAACTATGAATCTATCGATTCCAACTTCTATAAGAATAAAAATCGAAAATCGAAAAGATTCAAGGTTTTACACAACCCTTCCCTACTAAATTGTTACATGAATTGACATGAATTGTCAAACTAATGTATCTTATTTAGACAAACTGTAATAGGATCGCGAGACTAAACGGTTGTGCGATATTGTGGTAAGGAGTAAGGTAAGGATCTCACTGTTTCTATTTTTTATTCCAGATGGAGATTTCAGATTATCCTGAACTAATTCGTAAGGTCATCGTTTTGGAAATCCTCGAGAAGATATTAAATGATTTCGACTTTCGGTCGAAAACTATATCTGATTTGTTGTGAAATAAATTGTTTTATGGACTGTAATAATTGTTATACAGAAATGTGTAAATAAATATTTATTGATGATTTAAATTGTACATTATTGTAACGCAAATAAACTGATTAATATTTGAATCTTAATTTGTTTTTTCAAAATTCTAATAACCTAAAAAAATGAGACATTACAAAACATAATTATATAATTGTAACAAATATTCACTAGAGACCAGTAGTTTTTACGTACAAAACTAGATGGCGCCACCTGTATGCTAAAACACGATGTTGTATCATATGCGCCTTAGGTTAAGTCGTTTCATGTACATATGCAATTCAGAAGATTAGAAAATAACAAATATTGTTAAAATTACTGTCTTCTCAAGTTAGTTCCTACGACGCGATTCTGAGTATATTAGCTTGCTGTCTTGTGACTAATTTTACTCAGAATTGCATAGTAGCGTAGCTGAATTAGGTTGCTTGCGGTGGTGACGGCGTAATTTAGCAGGTAACCGCTTGCTGTTCTGTGACCCACCAATAAACGACTGTTTTTGCCACATTGGTTGTTTACTTTGGCTGTTTCGGCTCAAGGCTCAAGATACCGCTGCTCATCTTATATAATTACTTTAGGAATAAATAACTAAATTCTCTTGAACCTTTAACGATTAAAATTTTCGTTATACAAAAAAATGTATCATCATCTCCCCTGCCTTATCCTAACCCCGTAGAGCAACAGGTTTTTGCCCTCCAAATAACTCTATCATACGTCATCTCTTTAACAGTGGTAGTGCCCGCTTTAACATGTTAGCACTGCGAGGCCGGCACGCCCCCAGTAATACCACGACCACACAAGACAGGTGTGAAATGGAAGCAATTCCGTGTTTCGTCTGATGAGTGATGCCGGAGGCCTAATTTAAGTCCCTATCTCTTTACCGCCCTTTTCTTATAAGGAGAGGTTGGG